AGTTTATGGCTAAAGCGTGGGATATATAAAAAAGCAATAGGGCTCTTCTCCTGTCTCTGCCGAAGACTTGCTGTGTGACCTTGGGCAAGTCACTTACTTCTGTGATTCACTTTCCTTCTTGTAAAATGGGGATAAACAGTGGGATTGTGATGTTTAACTCAGTGTTCAGTTAAACAGTGAGATCCTTCGCTGTAAGATGCTCTATAAGTGTGAAGTATTATTTTTGCACCCATTAGATCAGCATTTCTCAAATGGGGAGTCCCGACCCAAAAGGATGTCAAAAGACTATTGTAGGGGAGTCACGAGAGTGGTGGCTGCTGGCCAGATGCCCAGCTCTGAAGGCAGCTTCACCACTAGCAGCAGAACAGAAACAAGGGTATCATGATATGGGGGAAGTCATCACTATTTGGGAGGCAGAAGTCATCACAGCCTGAAACACTTTCCAAAGAGTTCCCAGCAAAAAATGTTTGAAAACTTCTGCACTAGATAATCCAAAGCCTCATGTTTCAGTTGCAGTGCTGCAAGCAGGAGCCCCGAGGGCTTTGAACTGGCCTTCATTCTGCTAACAGTGCTATAGCAAAAACAACGAGGAGTAAGGTGCCACCGGACTCCTCGTTGTTTTTGTGGCTACAGACTAATACTCTGATACTTAGTGCTATAGCAGTGAGCGTTTCAAAATTAACTTCAACTGGAAGTTTGCCTGTGAGAAAACTGCATTACACTCCTACAACGTAGTGCTGTAGTTCCACCTGTCCTCTCCCAGGGTAAGTCACACAATGTTCTAGGAGTGCTTTCTCATGATTTTCCATGACATAATTTTTCTTATTTTCCTATTCTAAAAGCTATACCTACTATCTCTTAAGGAGACATAATTATCAAGTCAAGCATAGAGAACAGAAATAAATCTCTGCTTATATCTGTCATGGTTGAGAGATCAGTCCTCCAGGATGATGTTAATGAGGAACATCAATTTAATTTTACGTCAGCATGCATCAGTCATTTGCACTTTAGTTTCTAAACATGTCTAGATGGTTGGGTGCCAGAGGGAGTTCACCATAATTGCTTCTCTTTTCAGTCAAGTCAGTACCAGACCTTCATGCACCTGAGCACTGATCTCCCAACATGGCCTGCTGTGATATTCTCACTGCCAGTCATTTCACAATGGTTACCTAATGTGCCACAGCTTCCACACATATTCAACTCCCATCAGAACTAATATCATGATGTTTCCTGTGCTTCAATACTAGGGCCCCTGGAGGATCAGCATTAGAGATACCAGCATGATGCTCCTAGTAGGGAGGAGCACTTCTTCTGAGGGAGGTTGAGCGTTTTGATACCCAGCTGAGGAAAATTTTGAGTTTATTTTTCAGGGATTACTTTTCTATTGATTATTGGTGATATTATTAAAAATGCAATAGTAATTTTTTAAAAAATGGGAAAGGACCCCATTTTTTAAGAAGCCAGCTCCAATTGGATCCAACTCCCCACTCGCTATGTGAAGCCCAACACTGGCTTTGGTAAGTGCACATGTGCATGTGTGGAAAAGAGGGGGTTAGGTCGCTGTAACAACAATGCTAGGCACTGGCTATGCCAGGCATTCCCAACAATGGTCTCATGTAACATCTTTTCAGTTTTCCATTTGACAGGAAATACTATGTGAACTGTTACATTTATAAGTTAAAAGTAATCTCACTAGATGTGTGAGGCACAGGAAACTCTAGCTAACTAGCGCTATCCTTTATTTGGGATTTGAACGTTTGTTGTAAGTATTGGGCCAAAATCATCCCTCAGCCCCACGAAGTGCAAAGTGTATTCTTCCTCCACCTGTGGAGACATCTGCAGCAGAAGAGGAGTCATCCCTGGGGGAGGGCAGACAGCAATTTCACTGCATTAGGAATTTTACTGTGGGAGGGCAGCTTTAAATAACATCTAGGGCTGGGGCAGAACAGCACCTAATTAGTGCACCTCCCAGTTCCCAACTTCCTCCTGGTCCAGCTCTACCCACTCTGTGGGTTGACCAGCTTGGAGTGGGGCCATGGGTGCTTTGCACTACTCTTTAATTAATGGAGACCTCCTATAACTGGAAGGGACCTTGAAAGGTCATTGAGTCCAGCCCCCTGCCTTCACTAGCAGGACCAAGTACTGATTTTGCCCCAGATCCCTAAGTGGCCCCTTCCAGGATTGAACTCACAACCCTGGGTTTAGCAGGCCAATGCTCAAACCACTGAGCTATCCCTCCCCCCTCTATCCTGCTCCTTTTGGACTTTCCACCACTCAGGCCCCACAATCTACAGTCTGCTAATGAAACCAAGGCAATGAATTGTGTCAAATGATTGTCATTGTCCAAGGGGGGTAGAAATACTAGTCTGAGGGCAAGACTACTCCACAGCAGCACTGATGCAACTGCATTGCTGTAGCGCATCTGGTGAAGCCACGCTATGACAATGAGAGAGAGCTCTTCCATTGGCATAATTACTCCATCTCAGCTAGATAGTGTCTCCCACCTAAGTAGCACCAGTGTGGACAGCACAGATCTTGTGTTGCTCGGGCAGGAGGGTTTTTCACACCTCTGAGTGAGGTAAGTTAGATCGACTTAACCGGTAGTGTAGACTTGCCCTGAGTAGATCATATTTTTTCCTCTTCTTATATTTGAGTGAACTTGTTGCTGAAAGTGAAGCACTAATAGTATTGTTGAAAGTATGACACAGGGTGGGCAGGTACTGCAAACTCCCTAAAATATAACTCTATCCAAGACATCTCAGTACTGACTTAAAACATCCCGAATGTCCAGGCCTCAGCCTCTTGTCAGCAAGAAGTTAATGATCATGTTGAATTGTGCCAACAAAGGAAGGGTAGGATTGTCAGGACTTTGCGCCTGCAGATGGACCTGGGACCAGTTAGCTGACCTGCAGCGGAACATCCTGATCAGCGAGACTCCCTGATTGGCTGGTTGGTGTCACCAGGCCTGTGCTTAAGCCCAGTGGCTGCTCGATACTTATGCCTGCAGCTGTGATTGCTTCTGTGCCTGCCTTGTTCCAGCCTTGCTTCAGCTGTCCTGCCCCAGTCTTCCTGTTCTGGTGAGTCTTGCTCCAATCCTTGGCTTGCGTCCTGCTCCAACCATTAAGCAGGATGAACCAGGCATGGTTCGTGAGAAGGATGACATCACAGATTGCCTTGTCCTGTATATCTTACTCAGGCAAAATTCCATTCAAAACAAGGCAGCTTTGCCCCTCGTTAAGAACTGCTGACTCAGACCCCAAATTCATTCTCACCTATACTGTTTTGCTGAAGTTAAAAGGCAAATTGTACATAAAAGAGAAAGGGTACAGCCACACACAAGTTGGTTTTTACTGTCTACACCGTAGGCACTACTTTCATTTGTCCCCCACCTGCACCTCTGCTCTCATTTTAGTCTTACTGTCTCCTCTTCTCTATGAACATCCCTAATTCTGTCAAACCACTGCTCCCATTTGCTTTTTTAATTTACTTTCACTACAGCTGATATAATAAGGTAGATTTATTTATTTATGTGGAATTTTTCATATTTTGGTTAAAAAGTTTTCAAAAGCAAAAAAAAAATGGTTTGAGGATTTGGGGGCTTTGATGAAAACTTGAAAAATGTGGACAAGTTTCTGTTTCCTCAAAAAGTAACTTTTTGCCCCCCAAAAAGCAGATAAAAATATTCAGCGTTCTGCCACTCCTGTGCTTCAGACCTTCTCCCTGTCCTCATCTACAAACTACTCGTTTACGCTTCTTTCAATCCCTCCTTAAAACATCAGCTTTTCAACAGATAGCTCCTCTTTTCTTCTGAACTGCAGACCTGTGCCATGCCTTATATTTGGGCACCTTTTTCAAGATTACAAATTCATGGGGCAGGGAACCAATGTGTATAAAGAGCTGTATACATTTACAGCACTACGGCTTGGATTTTCAAAGGAGTCTCAAGGCTTGTATACCTATCTCATAGAACTGGAAGGGACCCTGAAAGGTCATCGAGTCCAGCCCCCTGCCTTCACTAGCAGGACCAAG